GGAGGGACAGAGGGTTAGAGGGAGAGGGTCGTACCAATCCTCAAAAAAGGGAAGAGGTTGTACGGGCTTGACCAAAATCCTCAACTATGGTGTGCTCTGTGGGACTCTCTGGCCATTTGGGAGGGAGGGTTGCGGTGGGCGCTTGAGTCGGCATGGTTGGGCCCTACAACGGTGCCTTTGTTTGGAAAAGGCGCCAAGCAGCCTCTGCTGAGGGGCACAAAATTTTTTCGTGGTGGGCGCATCGACCCTGCACGCCTTGTCGATTTATCGTGCCTCTTGTCTATTATTCCAAGTCTATTATTCCACTGGAAAGTAGGTGTAAATTAGGGCGCACAGTGAATTTTTTCACCACATGCCCTTACAGAGTACCATGAATTTTATAGAAAAACCATACTGACTTCGAGTCATTGAATCAAGTCTTTTTGCTTGGAATTTGGCCGTTTTCAGTCAGCTTCACGACGTCTCGACATTGATTTCTTTATGACGTTCTACGGCGATGATGCATATTAGAGAAACATTTTCTATTGATTCCTTCACAATTGTTGGAAACGGCCACAACATTCATTTCATCTCAACACACTCAGCCACTGAGCGCTGTCATTTCTGATCTTCTGTGATTTGTACGTGACCCTCTAGAGTCTCTAGAGATTTCTAGTGGAACTCTCGAGTGTGCTCTTTGATGGGAAACCCAGTCAGATCACAGTGTTTCGTGTGTTTGTTCAACTGCTTCCCGCTCATGCGTCATCACGCTAGTTCTTTTCCGAAACTTACTATAGATCGCCAGGTTTGACCATTATTTTTGGTTTCCGGGCTAATCTAGAACGTGAAACATTCTTGTCTATCCTCGCCCAAGAGCATCTGTCACTCGTCGAGTTCTCTTTTTATACACATGACTTTGAAGGCTATTCACTATTTCAGTAAGTGATCTGCTTATTTCAGATGTAGAACCTTTTGTAGTTTGTCCGAAAGAAGTCGTGGGGGCCATCTTACCGGTCCATGGTGACCT